GGATGTAACATGGACCCCGAAGAAGTTGGGACCAGGGGGCTCTAGTATGGTCGTCCCGGGAGGCGGAACGTAGATCTCGGCCGACGGGCCAACTAAGGCCCTCGCCACGGCAATATCGTGAGGCGTCAACGAAGACCCGAACCCCCGAGGGATGGCAGAGTCTAGTACGGTGTATTGGCTCAAAGGAAAAGGGTTCGGGAGTGGCGTGGGAGTCAACATGTAGGGAGGATGTGTAGTTAGCGGATCTATATACGGGTACTCGAGATAAAAAGGGTCAATCTCCCCCTCCAGAGAAGGAAACCGGTCTAAATCAATAGACTCGTCGTCGCTAGGCGGGAGGTCCGCGTAGTCAACAGAGTCTAAGACGGACCAATAATGGATGACCAAAGGTAGGTCTACCGGGTGCGTGGCCTCGACAAAAGGCACTATGCTCATAAAAGATAGCTACGAAACTCTAAAAAGGGGGTTTGCATAAGACTCACCCGACTCAAGCAAGGAAGGGGTGACGAAGGAGGCGCGGGGGCTCGGGGTCGGCGTTGGGGGGGTCGGCCTCGGCAGGGGGCTGGGGTCGGCCGGGAGACTGGTCGGTGGCAGGCGGCGAACGGCGGTCGGCGGTCGGCGGTGGTCGGCGGCGGTCGGTGGCGGCAGGGCTGGCCGGAAAGGGGGGAGAGGAGAGGGAGAGAAATTTTGAAGATTTGTGGGCTTTGTGTGTGTGGGGGGGAGGAGAGGGAAGCTACTTTATATAGGAGAGGAAAAAAAAAAGGGGGGGGGGGGGGGGGGGGGGGAAAGAGGAGATATTTTTTGGGGAAAAGGGGGGAAACTTTGGGGAGAGGGAAAAGTGAAATATGGGGAAGGTGAGTGGGTTTGAAGAGATGGGAGGGATATTTAAAGGAGGAATGGAAGAGTTATGGTAGAATGAGGACTCTTAACTGATGAGAATTTCTGCAGGCTTGAATCCCAATCCGGTTAAGAGTCCTATCGCATCAAGAATTCTGCGAGAGGAAGGGGTGGATTTTTTGGACATAATTCAGGGCCCCGTAATTATTAAATTTATTTTTACTCTCTCGCGCTGACGACTCCTCGCAGCCCCGAGAGTGGGGGACTGATGATGGAATAATCACGGAGCCGGAGCGGAGCCACGCAGGACAAGCCGGGTCAGACCCGGAGCAGGACGAACCACCCCGGGGTCGGCCCAGTGTGGGGTCGGCCTGGGCCGACCCCCAGAACTCGGCCGAGCCCATGCTCGGCCCGTTGGCCGAGCTCCGCGCTCGGCCAATAGCCGGGTCCTCGCGTGGAGCGAGTCCCGCGCCGCGGGCCCGGGGCCCGTGGCAGTCAGGGGTATATAAACACCACCCGGTGTCCTAAGGAGACACGTCCTACAGCTTTTGTCTCGTTATTACACGTCCCGAACCTCTGTAATAGCATTTTATGTCCAATTAATACAATCTTTATCGTTTTATTATCCGGACCCCCGGGTTCATATAATCCATCAATCCCTATATAAAGAGAGGTAGAGCAGTAGCATTTTACACAGTGAGAAACAAAGGAATTCCAGTATCTTTATCCTCTCAAAACTCTGCTTCTACTCTCTTCTTTAGCCAATCTGTGTTCCAGCTTTGCTTTGTTTGCCGGGTTCTTTGTTTAGGTTCTTAAACAAAGAATCATAGCACGTTTTATCCTGGGAAACCTAGGCTACAACGCTCCTAGCACTTGTGGGAGGTAGCAAATAAGGTTTTAAGGAAAAGAACTTTGTGTTCGAACTCGTGCTAAACCTATACCCAAACACTCCATCTTTTCCTTCCCAGATTTTCTGTTTTCCCATACAATAATAATTTTTCTGTAGAATTATTATTTTGGGATTTTTCAACCATATTACCCAACAGTAGTTTTGTGGAAAATGCCTAAAAGTTTCCCCTCCAACATTTAATGAGGTATTTATAGGAGGATATAGGGAGCACATGCCGGAGGCTCAGCATGCGTAACACGTGTTTCCCATGCACATGGAAAGGTCGGAGGCCTCGCTAATTCCCCATGTGTACTAAGGTTTCTGACGCCCTCGTTCCTGGTGCGATCGGGTTTGGCTAAGGGAATGAGGTTTCGTTTTCTAATTGGAGAAGGTCGGGTGCTACGTCCCGACCTGAGATGATCGGGGTGATCCTGAATATGGGTAAACACTGGCAGTGGCGGATCCAGAAAATTTTCTCAAGGGGCGAAACATTAAAACGAAAATGAATAGCTTAAAAAAGGTGAAACACTTAAAAAGAAGTTAGCCATAAATATTGTTAGATATGAGCGAAAAATAAAACACATCAAAAACTTTATAGAAATATTATTTATAACAAAATATGAAACATTATTAAATTGATAAAATAATTTTAGAGTAAATACTCAAAATGGTCCCTCGACTATAGCTAAATTCACAAATTGGTCCTCGACTTTCAATTTCAACCAATTAAGTCCTTAACTTTGCAATTTTGACACGATTTGGTCCTGCATCTAT